AGTTAAAAGTAGTCCAAAAGTTCAGCTACAGGTTCTACAGTGACCACAAACCTCTCAGTGGATGAAGAACTTAATGTTCGCATCAGAAACACTGCCACCACCTTCAGCAGATGAACTAAAAAAGCATGGAACAACTCAAAGCTTATAATCAAGACCAAAATGCTAGTGTGCAAAGCTTGCACACTCATCACTTTCATGTGTGGTGGGAAAACATGGACAACTTATGCACATCAAGAGAAAAGGTTAAGCAGCTTCCACCTACACCGTTTATACTTCATTACTCAACATCAAATAGCAAGATAAAATTACCAATGAAGAGGTTCTTCAAAGGGCAAATTTACCAGGTGGGGCAGCCCTACTCAGACAGAGACGACCGTGCTGGCTAGGCCATCTGAGCAGATTGGAAGATGGATGTATACCCAAGGATATGCTATATGGGAAACTATCAGAGGGAACAAGAACAAAAGGATACCCCAAGCTTCCCTATAAAGACACATGCAAGTGAGATATGAAGGTATTTGGAACTGATCCTATCCAATGGGAAACCTTGGCAAGTGATCAGAGCAAGTGGCATCATGATCTCCACCAGGGCATTAAAGACCATGGCAGGAATTGGCTCCAACAGCTTGAAGAGAAAAGAGTCAGTAGGAAGCAAGCAGCTCCTGAACCATCCAACCGTGACACATACATTTGCAATCGCTGCCACAGATCATACAAATCTTGTATTGAACTATTCAGTCATGTGAGACATTGCAAACCATCTACATCATAGGCTGCAATATCCGTTGTCTCTTGCAGACGAAAGGATGCCACTGTTGTATTGGTATACCACTGTGGCTGATACAAGTGCTGCTTAATAGATAAAGAGAGGCCTTATGTCTCTCAGGCTTACAAACCTGGAGCTTTTTGCCAACATTGCAGAGGAAAAAGGTTTTAAAAGACATTCAAATACTAAGTAAAAAAAGAGTGATTGTTATTGTGATTGAAAGAGATGGAGATTCTAGAAAGAAAACAAGTGAAATGCACAAAGATTGTGAAAAAAATCACTGGGAAGGCATTAAGAGGAAGTTCAGAGAGATCAGCAACGGGAAGTTATACAGTTGCATATGGAGTTAAAATAGTAAGCCAAAAATTTGCAGAAAGTATGTAAAAATAAGGAAAATAAGTAAATGATTGATAAGCAATCAGTGAGCATGCTGGAGGGACAGGATATGATTTGGCATCCTGGTGTAAGTAAGTAGTTTGGTCACTATTTTGAAATAATAAGTGTGTTAAATGGAGGGAAAGATTTCCTCATTAAAATAATTATTTTTGAGACAAATGACTCACATTTTAGAACTCATTTTTAACATATGTCCTTTCAAAAAACCTCAAAGGCTCATTTTAATTTGAAAAGCTAAGACTTTCTATCTTAAAATAATTCTGAGATGAAGTGAAAAAGTAGCCCCATCCCTTGGGAACCTATCCATTTCTAAAACTAATTTGGAGGCAAAACTTTTTTTCAAAGTTCCAAAATGGTTTTCATGGTTTTTCTCCATATTTGGGATTTTGTAAAAAGTACATGAGAACTGAAAAAATATAAAAATAAATGCTTGCATTTTCCCCAATCTGAATTTCCTTTTCAGGTATAGCGATACCCCAAAATTCTACATCCATGACAAATATTGCTGCAAAAATCCAAGTGAAAATTTTGCAGGCTCAGATTTCACCCAAAATAGGGAAACCAAACTTTAACTAACTACATGCTAAAGTCTGTTTCTAACACATTTCCAGTCTAATTGGGATATTCAGATTCATCAAGAAAACTGAAGATAGGCAATTAAAGCTGGGGTGTTTTCTCTAGGTGCTTATACACGAAGGGTTTCCAACCAATGGCATGAGTGCCACAAATTGCACAGGCAGCCTATGTGTATGGCACAGCAGTTCAAAGAGGGAGCAAGCAGTACAGTGGCAGAAAAGAGAGAGAAGAAAACAAGAGCAGTCGTTTGGGCAGGGAGCACAGGGCAGAGAGCAGAAAGCAGAGCAGCAAATCAGACAGGGAGCACAGGGCAGAGCAGCAAATGGGGTGAGGGAAAGTGGATTGAAGCAATACTTAGGGAGGGTGTTTGGCTCAATTTTGTGGTACACCTACCAAAAAAAAGTTTGGCCTCCACTGTTAAGTACCAGGAATATCATCACCATTGTTTTTAAGTGTGATATAACCTACCTAAACTTGAAACCAACCATAAAACTTCTGGGATTTGACAACTATTACTTGAGTTGTAAAACAACATTATACCCTCTAGGGTCTCAGGTCTGCTCTTGGATTCTTCCATTTAATTCTTCACTTCAGTGGGAGAGACATGACTATATGAAGCCAGAATTACCATTCAACTGTTAAGAATGTTGGGTCATAGCTGCTTTATATCTTTAAAAAAAAACTTAAGTACAGCAGTATGTCTCAGTGGGTTCATCTCCATGAGACTTTTACTGTTCAGTTGCCTAAGTAACTGCTCAGTAAATATCTCAGGGTCCACACGTGTGCCCCTATTAAGGCACACAAAATGAATAAGTAAACTAGTAAATGCAAGTTCTACCCTGCTGCGGAGTTTTTTCATGCACAGCAGCGCACATGTAGATTCTGACTGGCTGGCTGGGGCACGAGGGTGCTTCAGTGTGGCAGCTGCCTGCTGGTAGCCCTGTACTGAAACACTCTTATGCCCCAGCCAGCCCCTCTGCAGCACATTGAGTCCAGATAGAGCAGTCCTGGGCCGGCAAGCTGATCCGCAGAACCTCCTGCTAGCTGGGGCTGCTGTGACCTGGCTCAATGAGCTGCACTCCAGGCGCATGTGCAGATGCATGCCCAGGAGCTTTCTGGGAGCAATAAACTGAGGAGCAGTAAGCTTTGCATGCTTCCCCCTAATTGCATGTGTAGGCATGCCCAGTATGCAGCATATCTCAGAGATAATTCTTGGAACTTTAGCAAGCAAGACTTTAACTCAAGCATTAAGGCTTAAACCCATTTAATGCTAATTTTAGAATGAATTCCAGCTGTACAACTTGACTTATGCTACTGTGCAACAACAACAGGAGGAGGACATAGAATGGGACCATGGAAGTGGGGGTGCCATGGGGTCTGGCCCCAGCCCTCCTTCCCACTGCTGTTCCTACCATTTTGCATTAGACCTTAGGTAAAATGGATTAAATGCATTGGGAACAGGGACCACAATCCAGGCATCCACTGTCCCAGGACAGACTCCATTTCACTGGGACAGCATCACACTCCCTCTTATTAGCCTCACATCTCATTTCCCCTTGGCTGCCCACTGAGACAGCTTTAACAGGAGTACAAGGTGTTCTTGGCTCTGCCAAGCTCCAAGGTAGTGGTTAGGGCTTTTGACTAAGAAGCAGATAATGTGGATTCTTCTGTCTGATGAAGACCTAGAAACTGTGTCTCCCACTTCCTAGATATGTGTTCTAGCAGTAGCTGGGCTGGCCCTTCTCTTCCCTCCCTCTCCCACTGGCAAATCATAGAAATCATAGACAAGTAGTGATAGATGGGATTTCCAGAGGTCATCTAGTCTAACCCCCTGCCTGAGGCAGAATTATCCCTATGCAAAGCATCCTATACAATCCATAATCTAAACTCTTCATATAATTGTCATCAATCCTGACACAACACACCCTAACCTGCCACAGATAAAGCAGGGGAACCACAGTAGCTACTATCCTGCTTCTATAAAAGTTTGTTAATGTATGCTCAAGATATCCCAGGTAGAAGGTCATGCCCACTCAGGAGGAAGACAAGAACCCCATAGTCAATACCAAGCTGACCACGAGGAATTCCTGACCCTAAAAGCCATGATCAGTCTGACAAAATATTCTGAGTCATGGTTTTTTTCACTAAAAGTGTCAGAGACTTATGCAACACTTATGTACTTTTCCAGGTAAAATAGGATCATAACAGAGCATAACTGGAGTTCGATGTCTAGGTGGCCATCTTGGATGGCTTCTGAGAATTCACAGTAGAACACTCCAAGGTTGGAATTGCATATAAAATCTGCACAAGTGGCATTAAGCATCACTTACACATCTGGGGGTCAGAATAAGATCTCAGCCTGAGGCATTTACATAGCACTTAAATGCTTAATAGTTGAAATATTATTTGAGCATTTTTGTCCTAAAATCATTTAAAAAGGCATCTGGAAAAAATGTGAGAGTTCATGCACCAAGAACATATTCTGGGTACAACTAAATTTCAGTAATCTACTCTATTTAAACACAAGGAAATATTTTTCAGTTTCTCTTAAAGAAATGATTGATCTTAATATATGTGTAGTGTAAGTGTCCAACATAAATGTACAGTTTATGTATGTAAATGTCAACATATGCTACTGATTGTTGTTACCAAGCTGATCTTAGTGAGAAGCCCTGTAGATAGTCAACAAGAGTTTAATAAGCTAGTGGCTACTGAATAGCCTACATATTGCAAATAATAGTACCAGAAGAACCGTGTTAAATTTTGTATCCTTTCCCTTTATGCATCTCCTTATCCTGTCCTTTCAAATACCACCAGCTTTAGTTTAGTGACCTCCAACTCCAATTCCCACAGAAATGCCATGGCAGGCTTCCAGTTCTACACTGACTCTCATTCTAGCACTTGCATGCCAATTCAGCAGTGCTCACTTTCTAAATCCAACTCCTTCAGTCCTCTCTCCTCCATCATTGACTTAAAATGATTCAAAAAGTCCTCTCCAGCATTCACACCTAAATTTCTGACCTCTCATGTGGCACTTCAAATCAAATCACCTTGTCTTACACTGAGTCTGTAACAGGTTATTTTCTGGGTCCAATTATATACTATGTGGTTTGGGGGGTTTTCACCCTCTCTGTGCTCTGTTGCCTGCTTTTCTGTGAATCCTACTAAACTCTTTCCTCATTTCTTTTCATAGATGTAGGGTTGGATGGGACCTAAGCAGATCAGCAAGTCCAACACCCTGCCCTGGGCAGGAGAGAATACCAGGCTCATATGACCCCAGCTAGGTAATTATCTAGCCTCCTCTTAAAGACCCCCAAGGTAGGAGCCAGCACCACTTCCCTTGGAAGTTGGTTCCAGGTCCTAGCTGCCCTGGCTGTGAAGTAGTGCCTTCTAATGTCCAGCCTGAACCTACTCTCAAACAAATTATGGCCCTGATTCCTTGTTATTCCTGGAGGTGCTCAGGGGAACGGGGTCTCTCCCATACCCCGCTGGTCCCCCCGGTAAGTTTATAGATGGCCCCCAGGTCCCCCCTCAGCCTTCTCTTGTGAAGGCTGAACAGATTCAGGTCCCATAGCCCCTCCTCGTAGGGTCTGCCCTGCTGTCCCCAGATCATGCGAGTGGCCCTCCTCTGGACCCTCTCGATGCTGGCCACAACCCTCCTAAAGTGCGGTGCCCAGAACTGGACACAATACTCCAACTGTGGCATGACCAGCGTTGCATAGAGGGAGAGCATCACCGCTTTGGCCCTGTTTGTGATGCATCTATGGATGCGTGACAAGGTGCAGTTAGCCTTACTGTCCGCATCCTTACATTGGCGGCCCATGTTCATTTTGGAATTGATAATGACTTCAAGATCCCTTTCTGTCACTCTGCTTATGACAAGGGAGTTCCCCAGCCTATAGGTATGCTGCTGGTTCCTACTGCCTAAGTGCAGCACCCTGCACTTGTCAGTATTGAATCCCATCCTATTCTCATTCACCCACCCCTGTAACCTGTCCAGCTCCAGTTGTATCCCGTCCCTCCCTTCTAGTGTGCCCACCTTGCCCCAAATCTTGGTGTCGTCAGTGAATTTGAACAGGGTGCTTTTCACCCCCTCATCCAAATCACTAATAAAGAAATTGAACAGTACAGGCCTGAAGACCAAGCCATGGGGGACTCCACTGCCCACATCTGTCCAGGTCGGATATGACCCATCCACCACCACTCTGAGTACAGCCCCTCAGCCAATTTGTGATTCATCTGACTGCATAGGCATCAATGCCACAGTCGCCTACCTTTTTAATGAGAATGGGGTGGGAGACAGTGTCAAAGGCCTTGCTGAAGTACAGAAGGACTATATCCACCATGACACCTGCGTCTAATGATTTTGTGACCTGATCTTAGAAAGCAATCAGGTTGGGCTGACAGGACCTGCCCCTAATGAACCCATGCTGGTTGCCCCTGAGCATCATCCCTCCTGCTGGTCCTTCACAGATCTACTCCTGGATAATTTTCTCAAAGAGGTTCCCCAGGATTGAAATAAGACTAACGGGCCTATAGTTGCCTGGGTCCTCCCTCCTCCCTTTTTTGAAAATGGGGACCACATTGGCCTTCTTCCAGTCTTCTAGCACCTGGCCAGAGCACCACGAGTGCTCATAAAGCCAAGTCAGGGGCTCCACGATAACCCCAGCCAATTCCCTCAGAACCCCAGAGTGGAGAGCATTTGGATCTGCTGATTTGAACATGTCCAGCCCCTCCAGAAGATCCCTAACTCAGTCCTCCCTGACCCTAGGCCTGGCAGAGTCTCTCCTGAGTCTGTCCTGAATCCCAGTGAGGGAGTTCTGGTCCCTGTGCAAAAAAATGGAGGCAAATAATTCGTTAAAAAGGTCTGGCTTTTCCTCTGGTGCAGCCACCAGATGGCCAAGCGTATCCTGCAGGGGCCCCACGTCACCTGGCGCCTTCTTCATACTCCCTATGTATTTAAAAAAGGAATTTTTGTTGTCCTTGATCCTTGATGAAAGCCCTAGTTCCATATCGCCTTAGCTTTCCTAACAGCCCCTCTACAGACCTGAGCAATGGAGGTATACTCCTCTTTGGTGATAGCCCCTCCCTTCCACTGGGTGTATGCCTCCTTTTTGACTTTCAGGCATTCCTGTATGCTTTTGGTGAGCCATGGGGGCTTTTGAGCACTCTTGCCCCCTTTGATCCATGTGGGGGCTTTTGAGCACTCTTGCTCCCTTTGATTCTCATTGGGACTGTCACCCCTTGGGCTTGAAGGATCGTCTCCTTAAGGAATGACCGCTCATCTTGGACACCCAGTTCCCCTACCCTCCAGGACACAGTGCCCCTCGTACCAATCTCCTCAACTCATTGAAGTTGAGCCTCTTGAAGTCAAGGGCTACTGCCTTGCTGCAGGCCCTTGACACCCTGCGCTGGATGGTGAATTCCAGTAGGTGATGATCACTGTCACCCAAGTCAAGAACCTGGAGTCCCCTCACCAGGTCATCGCCTGTGGCCAGGACCAGGTGCAGCAGGGCATTCCCCCTGGTAGGACTGTGCAACTCCTGGGTTAGGTGGAGGTCCTGTATCTCAGCAAGGAACCTTCATGAGTGGTCAGACCTGGCTGACTGCTCCTCCCAGCAGAGTCTGGGTAATTTAGATCACCCATGATGACTACATCCCTTGCCTTAACTGCCTCTGCATGCTGACCCGAGAATTTGCAGTCCAGCTCTTCCCCTTGGTTGACCGCTACCGTTAAGTCTGTTTCCCCATGACCCCCCTGTATTCTGACCCAGAGCACTTCAGTCTGTCTCTCCTCTGACCCCATCCTGTTAGTTAAGGACATGTATTGCTCTTTGACATAGAGCACCACACCCTCACCTTTCCTCCCCATTCTATCCCACCTGTATAGTCTGTGGCCCCTAATGTTTACCGTCCAGTCGTGGGATGAATCCCACCAAGTTTCTGTGAGCCCTACTATGTCCGGGTTTGTACTAGCTATCTAGAGGGTGAATTCCTCTTGCTTATTCCCTATGCTACAAGCATGAGTGTAGAGGCATTTAAAGCCCTGTATTGGTGAATGCACCACCCCCCAATTCTTAGGACCACCTGGACCCCTGTCACTTCCCTGGGTACTCCTTGTGCACATCACCTGTCTTGGCTGGGAGGTGTCCTCATGTCCTCATGTGGCCCCATCACCTGGCGAAGCTAGTTTAAAGCATGCCGTACAAGATCAGCCAACCTGGAATAAAAGACACGGTTGCCTTTAGAGTAGAGATGTAGCCCATCACTCCCAAGCATGCCCCCTGCGTGAAAGTGTGGATCGTTGTCCAGGAACCTGAGGCCTGCCTGGTAGCACCAACTCCGTAGCCACCAGTTAACCTCATCGATGCAGGCCTCGTGTCACCATCCATGTCTACTTACCAGGAGAATAGAGGAGAATACCACCTGTGCCCCTGTCTTCTTGAGCTTGGGCCCCAAGGACTCGAAGTCCTTCATGATGTGGTCTGGGATGCCTGGCTGCATCATTTGTTCCCACATGGATAAGGACAATGGGGTACTGGTCCAAGAGTCAAATGTAGGCTGGGATGCTCTCTGTGATATCCTGAATCTGAGTCCCAGGCATGTAGTAAATCTTGCATGCCATGGGGTCAGGTCAGCAGATGGGACCCTCTGTTCCCCTTAGGATGGAATCCCCGATGATGAGGACCCGGCGTTTCTTCCTCCTGGTGCTCCCTCTCTGTGCCATCTTTGTCATACGTGGAGTGGCATCATCCCCGTTGGAGGCATCCCCTTCATCCTTCTCTTCCAAGGCTGCTAGGGTCTCGTATCTGTTCCTGAGTTGTACCTGCGGAGACTCTACCATGCTAGCCCAAGCAGCCCTGGTTCTGGTGGGTACCTTCTGCCACTCCTCTGTTGTGCATCTCTCCTGGGGGGTCTTTATGCTGGATGACTGGTCCTACAGTGAATGGAAATAGGTGTCAATTTCATCCTCTGCAGCCCTGATCCCCAGCAGCCTGCTCACCTCAGCCTGCAGCTCCCTCACCTGCTCCTCCAGGTCCCTAAGTCAGGCACAGGAGGGACAGGCAAGGGAACCACCAGACCCCTCTCCTACTACCAACCTCTGGATCCCCACCAGACTGCCCCCACAGACAGGGGCGCAGGGGGCCGCTGACCCTGCCATGAGCTCCGTCTGGGTGGAGGCCTCAGAGAAGCCCAGAGCAGGTGGCACCACCAGGGCCCCAAGCAGCTGCGCTCCATGTCTGTACCATGTCCATGAAGCTGTGAGTCAAATTCTCTCACCTATTGGAGGCTCCTTCTGGACCGCTGCCATGCGCCCACCTTGTGTAAACGCCGGTGCAAATGCCAGCACGCCCTTCCAAAGCGCACCTGTTTGCATGCACTGTTCATGCGCGCTGCCCACATGCGGCCCGGGAATGCAGCTCCCTGCCAGCTGGACTAAAAGGCATCTGGGGGGCTTCCCCTCCGGATCCACCTCAGCTGTGCCAGCTCCCTCTGCCCCACTTACCTTAGGGGGATCAGCGGCTGCTGCCCCCTCTGCTGCCTCTGCTGCTGCAGCTGCCTTCGCCGCTGCTGGTGAGGTAAGGGGGTACACGTGTGTGTGGGGACACACGTGTGCCTGGCTCCCTCCATACTCTGCTCCATGCCTCCAACTGCCAGGTGTTGGTTCAAACCACGGCTTTTCAAGGCCACGGTTTGAATTTGCTGCATCTGCCCTTGCAGCCAATCAAGTGCTCTGGCTACCCCGGAAGTGCCTGCCAGCAGCCCCTCTCCCTACAGTCTCTCCCAGTGAAAGCAGCCTTGAGTTTCTGGGGTGGCTGGTGCCACCGCCCCAAGGGACTGCCCCAGCAGTGCTCCCTTGCTTGGGGAGATCAGTCCCCCCCCAGGCCTCCCCCTGTCCACACGCGGAACCCACGTGCGGCCCAGAAGCACGACTCCCTGCCAGCTGGGCTAAAAGGGATCCAGGGGGCTTCCCCTCCGGATCTGCCTCAGCTGCACCAGCTCCCTCCACCCCACTTACCTTAGGGGGATCAGCTGCTGCTGCCCCCTCTGCTGCCTCTGCTGCTGCCACCACCTCCACCACCGCCGGTGAGGTAAGGGGGCACACGTGTGTGTGGGGATGCATGTGTGCCCGGCTCCCTCTTCATTCTGCTCCTTGCCCCAAACTGATTTTGTAACTGATTAATAAGAAATCTGAAAGAAAGCTTTAGGAGTGATTGATGATTAGCATTTTAGAAACACAGAAAACTACATGCTATCAATTAACAGAACAGCAAAAAACAATTATTGTTTGGGAAACAGAAACAAGTCTGGGGTTTAGCATCATGATTATTTGTCCCATAATTATGTATGATGGATTTTTCTTTTTAAGTAAACATGGGACTAAGTAGGTACTGCTCACAGGTACAGAAATCATGATGTTGATTATTTACTTTGTACCAGGTCTCCAACAGAGGTTTAATTATACTCAGAATCAAAGCGGTGTTGACAAGACAGTGGATCCTGAACTGTAACAAAGTAGATATATCCACAGTTATTCATTATACTATAAATATACTTTTCAAGCAGTTTGTGGCTTTAAAATGATTTTCCACATGTTTCTGCATATGGAAATCAGCTCATATTTCCCAATCTTGTTAGCACACAGTTTGCCATTTGTTAAAACTGCATTTTACTTTCTGAATTACTTGCCATTGGTTATTTTTAATATGTTCAAGAATCCATTATATCCATGAAAGAGCTTCAAATGTATAGTGAAACTTTCTCTAACATACAGGCAGTGGTATTTCAAGTTAAGCTTTATATTTCACAGGTTACGATATATGATATGCTTTACAGGATAAATTATCTACAGTCAGCCTGAACTTTTCCTTGTCATTCACTTTCTCTGCTTTTTCCAAGTTTTGGCTGCTTTTCTCTTTGTTTCCTTAGGATCTTTAGAAAGGAATCATAAGAAAATAGACACCATCAAGCTGAGAAATCAAACAAATCAATGCCTATGCAGTTGTTGATGCCACACCCTCAAGGATTTGGTTGCATGGTCAGCACATACTCTGTCCTAAGACATGATGCCAGATACCAGCCTGTCAATTCTGCCTCAGATAAAATTACTGAGTAATAGTGAACAGTGTCTGAAATACAAATGTCCCCTTTCCTGGTTGAATATTCTAACTACTATAGAGTATTCCCTCTCTGGCCCAGGGGCAGATCTAGAGGGGGTACAGTGGTGTTTCTGCACCCCTGGATGGACCATGACATGGAAGAAGAAGCCAGGGATATTTTAAAGCCCTACAAGCTGGTAAAAATCCTGCCATCCCTCTTAGTACCCCCTCTCTTCCCCTCTGTGATAAATAGCATATCCCTTCCCCTCCCATTCCCCCCTCTCCTGCCCACAGCAGACACTCTCCCCACTGCCCCTGGCTGAGCCAGAGGCAGGCAGAGCTCCAAAGCTGCTTCTGCCCTGCTCCAGCTGGGCTATGCAGGAGCTGGGCTCAGTTGTTGACAGCAGCAGAGATGGTAGCAGGCAGGTCCCATTCCTCACCCCCTCCTACTTCTCCTGGGTGCCCGCTACCACCCCAGAAGCAGGCTCAGGGAGGAGGAATCTGTCCTCTCCCACTCAGCTGAGACATGCTACCTATGCATCCCAGCTGTAACAGAGTAGGAGCAGCTCTGGAGCTCCTCCTATGCCAAGTCAGCTGGTGAGAGTGAGAGTAGCAGACAGGGAAGAAAGGGAATGCTCTATAATAGTTAGGGAATTCTACTAGGAAAGAGGACACATGAATTTCAGTCCCTGCTCACTAATCCAGGTCCCCCTTTGCCCTGATGAGCACTAGGCTATAAATTCATTGTTTCTGTAGCCCAAAATGGAATAACTTTAACAGGAAATATTAAATACCCAATAGTCTGGTGGTTTTAGGTACTCTTACAAGTGATATGGATTCAAATCCCTACAGAACCCAAGTCTCTCACACTTTAGGTGGATGCTAACCACTGAACTATTAGATACAGAGGTAGCAAGTAACATCAACACTACAAGCTGTTACAATACACTAAGTGAATTCTGAGAACATCTATCAGTTTGATTCTCTCAAGTGAGATTGGTAGGCAGAAATTGAGTTTGTGTATCATGAGACTTAAGCATGAGCTATATGCTCAGCATTGTCAAGGCTAAGGCACTTAGGGGTATGACCTCATTTAAATTGTGGGCCCAGCTCATGGTGTGGAAGCTCCGTTAATCTTGGAATTCCCCCCACACGCCCCCCCTGAGCTGTTTGGTGGAGGGGTGCCACCAGTCACTCACTGCTTGCTCCTGATGGCTGGGAGGTAAAAATTGTGGTTTTAAATATGCTGCGGTTTTTGCTTCCCAGCTATATAGGAGGCAAAAAAGGGGTAATTTTAAAAATGTGGTTTTCACCTTCTGGCCAGCAGGGGTTAGTGGCAAGTGGTGGGGCTGATGGGACCCCTCCACCAATCAGTGGGGGGGGGGGGGAAGTATGCAGGGGGAACTCCAAGATTAAAGCAGCTTCCATACTGTGAGCTGGGCCTCTGATTTAAACCAGGTCCTACTTATGAAGCATGTCCAGAAGCAGAACCTTAGATGCCTGGAGAACAGCAATGCTACAAGCATAGGATACTACTGGCTTCAGGAATGTACAAAGTTAGGTGGTAGCTATATGTGCCCGGAAGGTCTAAATTTGGACTGGGGATGCCCGAAGTAGCAGTTAGGCTCTCATATCCTCCCAAAGTCCCATTGTAGGTTTTGATGGCTAAAAAATGATATTTAGAGGTTTGCTTTTGAGAACTGGTGTGTAAGTAAAATAGATTGCATGGTCCAGGGCAATGGCAAGGGTTAATTGATTTCTAAAAACCCATTTGTGACAAAGCTTCTTTCAAGGTCCACTTTGTCTGACACAGGCAAGCAGAAATACAAGCTGGGAAATTGAAGGCATGTACCACATTGTTCCATAACATGAGATGAGGTGGCATTAGGTTACAGTGCCCAATTGCAGAGCCCTTAGGATTTCCAATTTTAGTAGACGGACCCAATTAGGAGGCCCAATAAAACCCCAGGTTAGGATGTATGCATGTGATGGGTTTGTGAAACAAAGGAATATGCTGACAGGACAGAATGTGGACAATATGATGACCACAGGGAGACCAATCAACAATGCCCAGAGATAAAGAGTCAGAGGGGGAGAAAGAATACAAAAGGAGGGATTTCAGAGCAGAAAAGGGTCCCCGAGAGGAGAACTCAAGGACACCATGCACAGAGGCTGCACTGCCAATCTATCTCTCCCACTCTACTGGGGGAGGGTAGGCCTCAGCCTCTGACCTCCAGGCTGCTGACATCTGACATTCAAGAGAGAACCTCAGAGTGAAGCTTGCATACTGGCCAGACATACCTTGACTCTGTGAACCCTGGAACTGTTAGATATAGAATTGTTTGCATTATTCTTATCTGCCATCACTGTGTATCAATAAAATTCACCTATTATCAAATGAAGAGGTTGTGATCAGTCTGAGGTTTTGGGTCTGCCCAGAACAAGGTATCTGGGTCATAAATCCCAACAGATTTTGCCCAAGTTCTTAAAGCAAAATGCCTAAGAGGCACTCAACTTAGGTTATAATTAATAAAAAAATGCAGGAGGAATTTACAATAATATTCTACCATTTAAGAAAGATAAATGACCATTTGGGCTGAACTTTCATTAACAAAGTCTATGCTACAATATTTGTCAGGACAAACATTTAAAACCCTTGATTCAAGATTAGAACTTATCACTTAAAAAGACAAGATGGATGTCCCTTCTTATCCACTTGCCCAATGTATAGTACTGCACAAATAGCTGGATGGTCTATTTGTTAACTCCTTCCTTGTCCTTATACAAGATCTGGAGGTTAGGCCATCTCACTGATATTACTGTTTTGAAGTTAAAGGAGGTAGTTATTGTGTTCACTTAGTGCTATCTGTAGTGCTCCATACCTGATCTTCAGTACGGCTTTAAGTTTGAGCATGACTTTCTAGCTAAAAATACTTATTTACTTAGTTCTGGAAGACCTCTGTGCAAGGTGGTGGCCATTGCCCTGGAAGGCTGAAACTATTCTGATAGCAGCCTCCACAAATGTCAAATAAATAAATAAAAGAGTTGGTTAATCCTTGAGGGGAATTCAAATCCTGACTACTTGCAATGTAGGGAGCAGTCCTAACACAGCTTAGCTTTCTGGTCTGTTATCCTTTCCTAAAGCTTCAAACATTAACTGGCAAGTATAGTAGCTTTACTGCTTTGATAAAGAATGAAAAAGTCAAAGTCCCACAGGTATCTATCCTATTAACCTACAGTAAAATGACATGGGCTTTATACTAACAAAATGGGGATCTTGAAAAAAAATATTTAGACACAAATCTATATATCTTGTCCCATTTATGTGGGTGATTTCAGTATCTTTTTTATAATTTTTTTATTATCGACTGTATAAAAATACATCACTATAATCCTTCAGTCTGAATGGGTGTTGAGTCATAAATGTGACTGTATAACACTCACATTAATACTACTGCCTTCTACTTGAGAGCAATATACAGGACAGGGCAGATTTAGATGAAAATTAAAAACATAACAGGTTATCTGTCTGTGTTAACTTTCTTTTCAACCTACTGAATGGAATTTTAATTAATCTTTCTAAAAATAGTTTGTCGAAGGAGAACATTTTTTCTAAGATTAACATTTGAAATACATCATCAGTTACTTATGAAAATGAACAAAAAATTACATGTGAAGAAGCTTATTAACTCTTTCAGAACAGGATAGCTCAACCTATTCAAAAATTAGCTTCAAATATTTGCATTTATAACAGTATTTTCCTTTTAAAAAGCTGTATTTCTAATTGCCCAAATTACCATTTCTGAAAAATAAATACAATATATAATATCAATCACTTTAGTCCATTAATTTACATTCTCATAATAATGATAATCCATTGTAAAATTATGAGAATCCCTTATTAAAAGCCACCCACCCACCCACAATATCTTTTAATTTGGGAGAGTTTGCTGCACATAGTAAAACAGGAAATAAAACATATAGTACCAGTTTAATTTTCATAGTAATAAGTACTATTAGGATATTTAATATTGTTCTGTTATAAGTGGAAATTGTCTTAGTAACATTAGAGAAAA